ATCTTGGAAGAAGTACAGCTGGAATGTTCCTTAGAAGTGAGAGTGGCTAGACTTCATCTCTCATACTTTGGTCACGTTGTCAGAAGGGACCAATCCCTGGAAAGTATCATTCTGGGTAAAGTAGAAAAAAAACAAGGAAAGACCCTCAATGAGATAGACTGACACAGTGGACGTGAAGATGGGCTCATGCATGACGATGATGGAGGATGGCATGGGGCTTGGCAGCGTTTCATTCTGTTGTACACAGGGTTGCTGTGAGTTGAAACTACTTGACAGCACCTACAACAACAACAACAATCTTTACAGGAGCTGATTGTCAGGTCTTTTCTTCAGTGGAGCAGCTTGTGGTTTTGAACCACCAATCTTTCAGTTAGCAGCCATGCACTTAATCACCTTCACCACCAGGGCTTGTGAGTATAAAAGTAAACATCTGTTCATTTCAAAGATCCCTGGGTGGTGCAAGAGGTTTCTAATTGGCTGCTAACCTACAAGTGAGCAGTTTGACTCCATCCAGAAGCTCCACAGAAGGCAAGCCTGGTGATCTGTTTCTGTAAAGATTTCAGTCACAATCCTATGGAGTAGTTCTACTCTGTAACACAGGGGATTACCATGCGTCAGAATGGACTTGACAGCAGTAGATTTGGTTTGCTTTTTTGATATACGATGTGTTACCACACCACTGTACCTATTAAATACTATGCTATGCCACTAAGCAAAGAGTTCTTGTGGTGTAGTGCCTAAGGCATTTGACTGCTAACCAGAAGGTTGGTGGTTCAAACCCACCAGGCACTCTGTGGAAGGAAGACTGGGCAATTTACTTCTGTAAAGATTTACTGCCTCAGAAACCCAAGGGAGGTCACTCTGAGTGAGAATCGACTTGATGGCAGATTGCTACTTAAATTCTTCCCTTATGTCCTATAAATTAAAACCAAATACATGGACTCCAGGGTGATGAAGGCAGAATCAGACAGGATGTCCTTCCAACTGAACCCAGATTAAATACAGTGCTTCCAACACTGAGTCTTTTTAGGTGACCTGCTTTGGTCTTCCCACTGAAATGAGGGAGGGTTAACACAGGAGGTGCAGCTTCTGGAAACCAGTCCTGACTGTGGTACTTTTCTTAGCTTCACAATTGGCCTCTCAGTAACTAAGCATCCCGTAATAGCAGAAGTTCTTTGAACCCACCTGGGTTGTTCACGTGACCTACTTGTGTCAACAGAGCTATTAACTGTGCCTGTGAGCAGACTGAAGGGTGGAGAAGAGGAGCCCGACAAGGTTCTTGGCTTTGCTGGGCTTGCAGCGAAGAAGAGTAAAACCCACTCGGGAGGAGCAGCTGGGCCAGCACTGCCTGCCAAGCTGTTGGTTCCAATGAGAGAACCAGGACGGGCATTACAGGCGGCGCCGGGGGCTCCCTTTGCCAGATGGCTGCAGTTGAACTTGTTGAAGCTGAACGGTATCTTGATTGTGACTAATTTCAGTTCAGCAGCTCCACCAGAAGCAGCCAGGGAGGAGCACCACGCCAGGAAACACATCCTACCAAAGTGGGTGGCTCACCGAGGCTCAGCTCCACTATCGCCATTAGTAAATAAGTGTAACCTTTTCTGGACAGCAATAACCCAGCAAACCAAACCAACGGTTGCTGAGTTGACTCCAACTCACAGCAACTCTATAGGACAGGGTAGAACTACCCCATAGGGCTTCCAAGGCTGTGGATCTTTACAGAAGCAGACTGCCTCATCTTTCTCCCATGGAGTGGCTGGTTGGGTTCAAATTGTCAGCCTTTCATTTGCAACTGAGTGCTTTTACTTCTGGGCCACGAGGGCTCCTCTGGAGAGCAATATCCAAGGAAATTTCAAATGTACTTATCCTGTGACCTAGTAAATTTGCACTTCTAGGAATTTACTTCTCAGATATGCATCCACAAGGACTTAAATAGGTACGTGTGTATTTAGATATGTAACAACGCTCATTGCAGCAATGTCTGTAAGAGTGAAAAGAGTCTGACTCAACTGCACACATCAACAACAACAATTATGAAATAGGCTTCATGGGTTATCATGACTTTTAATTCAACCCTAAGTGGGGTTCTGAAGAAGAAAGAGTAAAATTCAGCACTGGACATTATCTGAAACTGCTTATAGCAGTGATTTGCTTTATAAGCATTCCAAGGGAGTCCTCACAGGAGCCCTGGTGGTGGACAGGTTAAGAAAATGACTGCTAACCAAAAGGTCTGCAGTTGGAACCCACTAGCCACTCCACGGGAGAAAAATGTGGCAGTAGGCTTCTGTAAAGAGTTACTGCCTGGGAAACCCTATAGGGCAGTTCTACTCTGCCCTATAGGTTTGCTCTGAGTCAGAATGGACTCCAAGGCAATGGCTTTGTGAAGGTAGTCCTCTGCACTTTAGTGAGAACTATTGCATTGTCTAGCCCATCCCCAAATACATAAAGTAAGCTGTACCTTGGAGGGCTTATACCCAAACAGCATTACAACAGCAACTTTAAAGTCCTCTCTGCTTAGATAGCCTTTGTTTTCTTCATCACATGCTTTAAATACCTAAAGAACATAAAATATCTTTAATAAGACAATTAGTTTGTTCTGTATTTATTATTAGTTTATCTAAATTTGGATCTCGAAAATCTATTACGGACTAGGAAATGAAGTTCCATTATTCTAATTCTCAAGAAATCTTAATGATGGACTAAAATTTATCAAAAAAACTGCAAACGGTGTAACCGCTTGACTTATGCAAATTCATTCTTTTAAACTATTCTAAACTCTATCCAAAAATCAGTCCTGTAATTGGAAAAGTGAGGCAAAGGGCATGGCTTTAAAAGGCGATTAGAGATTATTATTAATAGACTGGGTGGAGGGAAGGGAACACTGCCAAAGCAGGTAGAGACAAGTATTGATCTGGGTGAAAGGAAAGGCAGTATTAAAAAAAAAA